TTGGATACACGCCCAGTACATTCAAAACCTGACACAGCAGCCATTTATACTGCCCCGAGATGTCGAATCTATATTACAATAGGCTTAAGCAGCAATGGGATTCTACCACACTTGACTTTCTGATACCTTTTGTTTGTCCGTAGGGTGGCCTCCCTATCTATTCAATGTAAATACACACCAACTGATCGGTAGTATGTGAGACATCACAATAAGACGGATAATAATTTTCTAAATCTTCGTAAAAAATTTGCCCGAAGATTCTGAAACTGTAAATACCTTAGTTAACTTTGAAATAATTTAAAGCCTTTAATGTTGGTTAGTTAAATATCTGTCTATTAAACAGTGAATAGTTTAAAACTTTTAATGTTATTTTCACGTCGAAATTCTGTCAAATAATCTATTGGCAGTTCGAAGTTTTTAAAACTATCCACTGAGAGCTAGCGCATAACTAAAGAGCTAAAAAATCGTTAAATTACACCCAAAGCAACACAGTCGACCTTTACAAGTGTTAAGTTACACTCAAAGCAACACAGTTGACCTTTACAATTGTTAAATTACACCCAAAGCAACACAGTTGACCTTTACGACCTATTTGTCTACAGATATACTCTAGCATTTCGTTGCTAACTGCTTCTAATAGTATCCTGACGACTGTAACAAAAACAACAAAAAATTCCCCTGAAACTTTGTGTTGTGTGTATTTACATATATATGTTCTGGGCAATCTGGATCCATTATAGTGAACACAGTAACTAAAAAACAAACAATATAAAAGATCGCAAGGTATAAACAGAAACAAATCCATGTGGGTTGACACAATTATGTTGGATTGCAATTTGTACAGCTTATTTTAGGTGATGGGTATCGTGAGATATAATAAGCAAATCAATTCACTGATCATTGCATTTATAAATGGGGTCACTTTGAATTTTATATTCTTATTTATTATTTTGTCTTCCTTTCCCATATAAAACAAATTTCACAATTATATATACTTCTCACTTCGCAGTTTCTTCCCTTTCAAAGCTACTTTTATCCTGAATAAACGTCACGCTTAATTTCTGATCTCTCTAACAGTTTTAGATTATCTCCTAAACCTTATAAAACGACGTTTCGCTTATCTCCGAATACCTTAACAGTGTCAGCTTATTTTAAAACCACTCTAACAGTGTTAGCTTATCTCCTAAACTTTATACAACGACGTTTCGCTTATCTCCGAATACCTTTACAGTGTCAGCTTATCTTAAAACCACTCTTAACAATGTTAGCTTGTCTCCTAAACTTTCTGCAATAAGCTCTTAATATTTCTAACATAATGTTCTGCTTAACTCCTAATCCTTGTACAGAGTCAACTTTTTTTCGAACTCCTCTAACATGTAGTTAGCTATTCTAACTTTTCACGCTTTTCATAATAATGAATTTTTTACCACTGTAACATATTGTATAAGCTTATCGCCTAAGTCGTCTCAAATTAATGCTTTGTTTTCGTAATATTCTCTCTGACAGTTCAACTTATTCTTTAATTTATATAACACTGTCACCTTTGTTCTAACCTCGCTAACACAGTATCGGCTTGTCTACTAACTATTTTAATGTCGTATTACTGTAAAATATTGTTACACAAGTCTTACTCCGCCCTTATAATACAATAATTTAGGTTTTCCTCTACCCCCTATATAATAAAATATCAGTATTCTCTTATCACAACATACCTTAGTCTTCTCCTCCTCTTGTGTCACAAGAATCCTAATCTTCCTCTATTCGTATAACACACCAGTATTTCCATACCCTTATATCACAACATATCTTAATCACCCCTATCCTTATATCACAACATACCATAGTCACACCTACCCTTATATTAGTCTACCTCTGCTCAAACATCATAACACATCTTCATTACTCTATTTCTAAAAGACAAGATACCTTAGTTCCTTCAGTTCTTACATCATAACACATCAACTTTTCCCCTACATCGTAACACATTACATCTTCTCCTACACCATAACTCGTTACAGTCTTCGTCATATCACACCAGGGTTCTTACACTTTCCTTTTGTCATAACAAAATCCCTTTTGTAACAATAAATATTGATTTTTCCTTTTCACCATATGATAAAACATCACAGTCTTCGTGTTTCCTCATTCGCAATACAATATAGTATTGCTTTTGCTTTAGTCATAACACATCATGCTCTTACATTTTCCTTATCTCATAAAAATCATAGAATTTCCCTTCCCTTATATCCCGGATTGGGTTTTCTTTCCCTTGTATCATAACACATTAATATATTCGATTCTTTTATGTCATAACTTTTCGGAGTCCCTTATGTCATTATGCATTAACCTTCACAATGTATAGTAAGTCACAACACAATATTTTCTTTCATGTCACAACTCATCACAGCCATCCTTTTTCTTACATTGCACCACATCAAAGTCTTCCTCCTTCATTAATTCATTTATAATAAATCACAACCATCTCCTTCCCTTACATTGTACCACATCAAAGTCTTCCTCCTTCATTAATTCATTTACAATAAATCACAACCATCTCCTTCTCTTACATTGTACCACATCAAAGTATTCCTCTTGTATTAATTCATTCATAATAAATCACAACCATCTCCTTCCCTTACATTGTACATCAAAGTATTCCTCTTGTATTAATTCATTCATAATGAATCACAACCATCTCCTTCCCTTACATTGTACATCAAAGTCTTCCTCTTGTATTAATTCATTCATAATAAATCACAACCATCTCCTTCCCTTACATTGTACCTGTGGTACAATGTAAGGGAAGGAGATGGTTGTGATTTATTATGAATGAATTAATACAAGAGGAAGACTTTGATGTAAATTAATACAAGAGGAAGACTTTGACATAACAAATTTACAGTTACCCGCTTCCCTTACATTGTATCACAACACAGACTTCTTCATTTATATCATAATATTTGTTAGCTTTTCCCTTTCAGCTTGTGACCTAATATTACAAGAAGATAATTCACCGATCTACAAGCATACCATTTCTATCTAATTTGGTTTTCAGTTTTCACCTCGTTCTAGCTGCACTAATCTGTTTTAAATATTACAATCACAGTTTTCCACTTCCATTTCACCATTTCCTTTTTTTTACCAATCAGACACGAGTACCGGTATGAACCATTTCAGTAATTAAGTAAAACTACTGAAAGTGGCCCGAGTATGGACGTGAAAGTGGATGGAGATAATATATGTAATGAAGAAGCTTCAGGAAAAGAAAAGTAAATACTAACACAGTGAATCACATTAAGTATACAAGGTATTTTGTACTGAAGTACAAGTTGATGACTAATTCAAGGGTGAGAAGATGAAGTCTTTACATCTAATTGTTCACAAAAATCTAAGCTATATGGCATCCTAGCTACTCAGAAACACTGTATTGCTCTAGAAACAGGACCCACACTGTTACACTTTTTTTTCTTTTCCTAAAGAACCATAATAATAGCTACTTAAGCCTATACTCTGTGGCATGAAAATGGGGGACTCGCTCAAAAGAATGGTCAGTGGCGTGTCGCGACTCTTTTAGCAAGTCATGCAACAATTTTTTTAGATGACAGATGAAACATTTTTTTTTCATGTGCATTTATATATATATATATATATACCTTATTTGTACTTTCAAGGTTAAATGATTAGATCAGTAATAGTGTTCTAGTCTAATAATGGTTAGATCAGTAATACTGTTTTAGTCTAATAATGGTTAGGTCTATAATACTGTTGTAGTCTAATAATGGTTAGGTATATAATACTGTTGTAGTCTAATGCTTTTTGCTTAGTAAGTTTTTATATACAAAAACCTTTACATGAACCTGTATAATTCCTCAGTTACTAATGTAATTCGTTAAAAGTTTTTACCGCATGTAAACGAAACTTGTTTTGGTTGGCATGGTAACGTGACGTTAGTGTGCAGCCAATAAGGTACAAGTTGACGCGCTGTCTTAACGGACGGCTCAACACTACAGTTGCATGCCTCAACAGTTTTTTCAAACAATCAGCATCACGTTGCCTGGGCAACATGGATCACTGTTTGTGTTGATAAACAAGAAAACAGCCAACTTGACCAGACTATTTACATACAATCCTATTTATATTTCATATTCTTAAAAATGGTTTAGGATTTTTTTTTATTTCGGGACATGCAATGCAAGTGTTGCAACATATAGACGACACGCCACTTAGAAGGGAACAGTGTAGAAAACATAAAGTTTAATTCTTTTTATACTTAGAAAACTAGATACTGATGCTAAATAACATTACTTCAATTCGATGCAAAAATATCGATTGCAATAAAAGCGTGATAGAACTGAGCTATTTCGAACCTGCAGGTCTACAAAACGTCCATACATAAGACTGCATATAAAGGATAATTGAGCAAAGTAATAAGGCAAATCCTCTCATAGCTTTAAGTACCTATTCTGATCATAAACATATATCTAACAATCACTTTTAGTAACTACTAATAAAGCAGTGAAGTTGAAACAAACACACAAAAGCTACCAGTTGAAGATCAAATCTTCGCGACCTGGTTATATTCTATATATAACAGACATCCAAAACATGTAAAGTCGGCTTTAAGCAATCGCAATAATGTAAACCATCTAACTTCCAAGAACCGTTAATTTAAGTAAAACCGGCAGTAACTGATATCAGATACCAAAAAAAAAGGGGTATTAAGTTTACACCCGTCCAAATATATCGCTCTCCAAACCGATTCCAGTGCTGATAACAACTAAAATGAAATAATAAATACACGTCTATATAAATTATTGCTTAGGGAAAGTCTACCAAAGTATACCCACGTGTTAAACAATTTGGAAAATCATACTCCGGTAGATTTTCCAAATTGTTTAACACGTGGGTATACTCCGGTATATTTTCCAAATTGTTTAACACGTGGGTATACTCCGGTATATTTTCCAAATTGTTTAACACGTGGGTATACTCCGGTAACCCACGTGTTAAACAATTGGGAAAATCTATCGGAGTATACCCACGTGTCAAACAATCTGTAAAATCTACCGGAGTATTCCCACGTGTCAAACAATCTGGAAAATCTACCGACATGTACCCAAGTGTTAAACAACTGAGAAATTCTACCGACATATACGTACATGTCAAACAATTGGGAAAATCTACCGGGTATACCCAAGTGTTAAACAACTGAGAAATTCTACCGGGTATACCCATGTGTTAAACAACTGAGAAATTCTACCGGAGTATACCCAAGTGTTAAACAACTGAGAAATTCTATCGACAAATACCCACGTATCAAACAATAGGTAAAATCTACCGGAGTACACTCACGTATTTTGTCAGATGATCCTATTTCATCTTGACCCAGCTTGCAACTTTAACGTTTCTAAATCATACATATTGTCAAATACTTGAAACTTCTAGTTGATCGAAAGCCTGTGAATAAGATGCAAGAAGCTACTATGTTTGATACTAAGATAAAAATCTAAGTGTTTAGGCAATAAAACTAATTATTATTATTATCTTGCCCGTGGATCTATTAAGAGTTAGAAACACCTACAATCTAACTAACGTATTTTACAAAGATCCGCCAAATCGGAAAAAACTCCATTAGCTAGGACGGGCATTTTCTCGGCCGGGAGGTCGACGTTTGGGCGAGGGCGGGGCGGGATGACGTCGGCATATCCCCGCACAGGGATCCAGTGGGCGGACACAATTATAATAGGCCATTAGCAGCTTACGACATTCGTTCTCATCTTCGTGAAAAGAAGCATCAGGAAACTTCCCAACCAGGCGTTTTCTTTCCTGAAAATCGAAAATTAATCACAACACACACACACATATATATATCACTCAATATTTTTAGGTTAAATCTTAACCCAGTCCTATGTTGAAGAATAAAAGTCGAGAAAGAGTGAATACTATATACAATTACAACGTGAAATAATTGTACAATAAATAATTTATTAAAAACAGGGGCCAGCCCTATAAAGACTTTACATGTTTCGGTGTTCTTACGTCACCATCTTCAGGATGATGACGTATATATATAAACGAGTGCCGTTATAATTTATCTAAACATATTTCAGTGGAATTACCATGAAATTCTGAAACAAGGTTCTGAAAGATAAAGTAAATAAAAATGGACAATTTGGAGGCACTGATGTGGTGATTTTCATCTAAAAACGGGTGTCTAAAATCTTACACTTAATTAAAAGACTTGTTGAAATTTTATTCGAAGTTTTATGTAATTATTTCTTTTTTTTTACAATAAATGAATAAAGTAAGAGGTTGGTATTTCTCAGAAGATTATACCATATAACCCAGGGTCCCTTGTTTTTGATAATTATGTTTTCTCGTTCTTTCTGTTTTTCTTCTTCTTCTTCTAAACACTTTTCAATCGACCGCCATTCATTTTTTTCTCGGCGGACTGAGTTGAAACTTGAAACCTTAGTCCAATATACACAGATACTTTTAAATTTTGAGACGCGGCATAGCGGCTCATGGGAACGACTCTGAGTTGTTGTTGTTGTTTTTCAAGAAAAAACTTTTAGCTAATAGCTCCATCATATCTTGACCGATTTGAGATCTAATTACAGTTTGGACTCAGGAGGTCAAACCATTTCGATTAATGTGTTTGACCACGCCTAAGGGCTCATAGATTAATTTACTCTAATCCTGCTTAAAAGAATTGGGTATACACGCGCCCAATGCTTGGTATTGCTGGCACACATAAATATAGCTAATTAAAATGTGTGTGTGTGGGGTGGGGTGGGGTGGGGGGGTCTCATAAATTAATTCACTCTAATCATGCCTAAAAAAATTTCAAGTAACACAACCATTGAGGATTCCCTCTAGTTTAAGTTGAACCTTTTTAAGAATTTTATGGGATCAAAGGTAAAACAACCCAAAAATATATATTTTAGGCTCCTGTACAGTTATATGAACAGCAATCAAGAT